GGCGGGAGAAGCTGAGAAGCAGACGAGGAGCGGTGAACTCAGGCTTCCCGCCTGTGACCGAATACGGCAGATATGCGCGTCCAAGATGGGCGCTTGGTACCGCGGCAGGATGCGCGCGATGCAGGATGCGCGAGAAGCACGCCGGCGAGAATACCGCCGGGCGTTCCGACCCGCATCGGCCTCGCGACGGAAGTGTGCGCATTGGCCCTGAGACCTGAGGCGCAGTGACCGCAGGGCGCTAGGAAGTGTTTGGACGCGAGCATCTATGGGCGTCTATGCGCGCTTCTGCTTCTCCATCCCCGCGTTGCATTTCGCGACGAGCGCCCGGACAAAGCACCCGAGGATACTGGTGCTCTTCGTATGTTCCATGGAGAGAGATGTGCGGCGATTGCCAGCACTCGTCAATGAGTTTGCGATCGATGGAGTGTTTGTGCACGAGAATGTAGAGGCAAAGCATATCTGGCGACAGAGCTTGTGGCCAGTCGTGCGAAGAGCGTAGAACTGGTCGACCGCCATGGACGCATGGAACGACCCGGTGTGATGGCGAGTCAATGCAACAACAATGCCTCCACTATCACGCCGATGCGCCCACCACATCACGGCGAACGACTCTGCACAGAGACCGGCCATCCCAAACTTTGCCACAAAAGCGAAGAAAGGGAACAAGAGCACAATAGACGACGGAACACGCACCTTCGCCATACCCCCACCCATCGAAAAACCGCGAGCTCAGCTGGCTCGTGCTCAGCTCCCAATGGCTCGTCCGCGCGAACGCCGGGTCTGTATAGATCGCCGGAAGCTCCTCGCCGTCCTGCAGCAGCTTCTTCAGCCCGAAGAGGTGCCGGTCGACGCCGTGCCCGTCCGCGGCCCAGGCGGAGTACTGGGAGTGGCGCGCGGTGGCGCGGCGGAAGAGGAGAGCGCGGTGCGCGTCCTGTTTGTGTAGTGTGAGTGAGGGGATGATTGGGAGGGGAGAGAGGAGTAAGGGAAAGGGGGAGGGGAGGGGGGACGTACGGTGGCGCTGGGGTCGACCATGCTGTCGACCCAGGCTTTGGACTCGTTGCTCGCGCTGCGCGTCACCTCCGTCCGGCCCAGCTGGTACTTCCTCGTCTGCGTGCTCTCGTACGTGACCGCCGGCCGGCCCTGCACGTCGCACGCATCAGTCCACCGCACAACATTCAAAAGATTGGAGTGAAGAGAGCGCACCTTGAACTTGTAGAACGCCAACTGCTTCACCATCTGCGCCCACGCATCCGGCGACACCTTAAACGTCTTAATCCACTCCTTCCCGTACGCATCCCACTGCAACACCTCCAGATCGTGCCTCCCCACCAGCTCATCAAAATCCTTCTCGGCGGTCTGAATGTCCCTCTCCACGTCCTCGTTCAAGACTAGCTTGATCTCAGATGGCAGGGGCAGGGACGATGAAGGTGAAGAGGGCGAGAGGTCGATCTTGTGCGCTGCGAGGGACGCGAGGAGGAACTCGTTCATGCGCAGGGTGGGCGTGCCGTCCATGCAGGAGTGTTCGCCGAGGAAGCCGGAGCGGCCGTTGTCGAAGACGATCACTGGAGAGACGGATGTCAGTGTTGGTATCTCCGTACTCCGAGATCGAACCGGGATGGGTGGATGCTGGCTATTTCGGATGATGCACTGACGACGGATTGACCGTCCATCGAAGCGAGCGGGATCCAGCTGTACTTATCGCGAGCCGTTGTGCCACCCATCCATCCGTTGGAAGCCATAGGCGCCGCGGCGCAGATGTGGGAACGACTCCCCGAAGCAAGCCCGAGGCCGTATAGAGACAAGATAAAAGAGAATAAACGTACGCTGATGTTTATCGTACCACCTATTCCGCCCATTGCCGACCCAGCACGCCCAGCTGAGCGCCTCGCGGCTCTCGGGCTTCGTATCGTCGAGCGCGACGACGATGAGCGCGCTCTCGATGCGTTTCAGTGCTTCGGCGTTTGAGGGGGATGCGGCGAGAAGGCGTTCGCGAGCCTGCGGGTGTGTATGGGTTATAGTGGAAGGGTAGAAGAGACTCAGAGGTGTTGGGTGCTTACGTCTGTCCAGACGTCGCGGTTCTCGCTCGTCAGTGCGCCGATGGCCGGTGCGAGGCCTGCTTTATCCGCCTCGTCGATGATCCTTTGTATCTGTCTATACACCGGAAGCAGATAATCAGCGTCATCACTTCAAGGAGCACATTCGCGGTTAGAGGGACGTACGCCTCGAGATCCGCCGCGCTGACCTCCTTCCCGTCCGCGCCTTTCAGCGAGACCTCGTAGAAGCGGTTCTTGCGCACAAACACGACGTGGTCGTGCGTCGAGGGGTCGAACTTGGTCGCTGTGTCGGCCGGCTTGACGGGGTAGCGGGAGGCGTGGAAGAGCCATTTGTACGAGGCCATGCAGAGCGGGGCGCCTTTGACGGTCTCGGGCGCGAGTTGTTCACTACGAGGCAGTAACGAGTCAATATTGGACTGGAGTATGGTTGTTGGGAATGCACGCACGTTTCGACGAGAGCTCTGAACGGCAACATGGCCTTTACGAGCTGCGCCGCGCGCTTAGCAGGGCCCATATTGCCCTGCATAACATGCACGTAGAAATAGCTAACAAAGACCACCACGGGGTCCCTATACGCCATATACGCCGCGTCGTTCCACCACTCGGCAAGCCAGCTCTCCCGCCCCTCCTCGCCCGCCCGCCTCTCGAGCCGCGCCTGCAGCTCCCTCCCCAGCGCGCTCCCCTCGAACTCGCGCGCGGCGCGCTCGGTCGCGGTGTACTCTGATTGGGTAAGATGCGGGCGGACAGTCTCGAGGTATTTGGAGATTGTACTGGATAAGGGCGGGACGGGCAGTTTGGGGAGCGAGGCTTGGTAGGCGAGCATCGGCCCGTGGTTCGGGTCGGCGACGTAGCCCGGCGGAACGGCCGGCGCCGCTTTGGACGAGTTGTTCTTCTTCTGTACCATCTGCTATATCTTGAATTCAGTTTAGGATGGTGGTGGTGGGAGGGATGAACGCACGAGGAGGGGCTGCGGGGTGCGGGGGAGACGGGCTACGCGGCGGCGGGCGAGAAGTGCGACGGACATCCGACGTCCTGCTTCTTTCCTTCAGCCTTCTCGTTCTCATACCCACAGCTTCAGATACGCATAAACAGACATACCTTTAAGTTGGAGTAAAAAGATGTAGAAACCCCGGGTTCGAGCTCAGGCAGGATGCCGCTCGAGTTCAAGTACCCCAGACTCTCCGGTCCGGCATCGCGACTGTCTTGCTTTCACGTGAAAGGTCTGGGCCGTCATACAAGGCCGACCTCTGTTCTTTCAGCGACGGCGGCGTTGTCATTGCAGAGGTGTCAGGAAGAGCAGTGTGCATGTGCAGTGGTGGTAGCCGGAGGAAGAGGAGCGGCTGGGAAGGAGCAGAGTCAGTCCGGTGGCCGAGAGATCGTGCATCGAAATCCCATCCCACAGGAGATGGCTTCTCGGGCGTGCCACACGCGTCCACACGAGTCTACAAACGCGTCGCGTCACGTCGCGCCCCGACGGCCGACGCGACTTGATCCCGACGACGACGACCGACGCATGCAGTCCCTGCATCTTTATCTTTCTCTTATGCTGTCAAGTCACAACTCTGAATTCTTAAAGGATCTTCAAGGAGGTCTTGACGCGTGCACGCGCACGCAAGGGTGACTCAAGACGCGGTGTATGAGGACGCGAGCGTGCAATACGAGCTCGAAGGCGTTCAAGCCTCGGCCTGCGCCCGTCACTGCCCCGCCGCCGCCGCCTCCTGCTCTGTAGTCAGAGGCCAACGAGATACTGATACAACACGTCGTCATTGACCGCGCCCGTTGATAAGTCGCGCTATGATATGCAACACTGGCGGCGGACGGCTTCGGCTCAGTGAGGGAGTAGCAGGACTGCGTTGGCTCAGTTGCGTTGCTACGCCATGCGTGATGACCAACAAAGTACGGTAGCAGATACCCATATCCCGAGACAGACCGCGGCGTCCGACGGGCAAATGGACGGAATTAACACGCGAGCCATTGTTCGTCTGAGACCTTCGCGTTCTGGACGAGGATCCCGCAACCTCGACTCTCTATCCCGTACTCGCCGACTCTCCGTTGGACATGGAATATCTATATGCCGTTTGCGAACAAAAACAACGGGGGATACGGATGAGGTGCATTATTGTTCGGTGCAGGGCGAGCTTTACATCCGCTGCTCGGTTGCCCCTGCCCATGTCCTCTCTTCGTCTGCCGTAGGCCGCCGGATATGCACGCACTCAGGTATAAAACCGAGGTTGAGTTGCGCAGAGAGAGCTCTAGCAAACGAGCTACCTCCAGCGCTACCCGCCCTCTACCCTCCGCACTTCACCACCTTCATCACCAATGGACGCCTTCACCACCATCCTCTCCATCATCGCCCCGGCCGCAGACGTCTCGCGCCCGGAGGACACACCTGTCGACGCTGAGAGCACCAAGAGTTCTAATGGCGGAGGCTGCACGGTCGCGCACAAGCCTATTATTGACGCGCCTGTTGACGCCGAGTCGACGAAGAGTTCGAACGGCGACGGGTGTATCGTTGTTTAGATGGTGGGTCGCTTACTGCTTATGTACGCTCGCGCATTCTGATGATCGTATTACTAGCGCTCCGTGATGCTGAAGCGTCTGCTGTCTTTCTTTGGGTTCTTCGGGCGTGTCGTACTTCGTGTATCCTTCTGGTGAAGGGTGTTCCTCTGGGCTCTGAGATCTGAACGTTTGTGCATCATGTAACTTCGCTATTCTCCGATGTACAAACTATGCATGCTTTTCACTTGGACTGCATATTACAAGTCTCATATATAGTACAATCATTAGTTTCAACGCTAAGGATAAGGCGTATATAAGCAGAGAACGCGCATCAGGCGCGGTTCGGTCGTGGAAAGAATCCACGAGGCGGAGCGGCGCGTAGCCGGTGCAGTCACTTACTCTTCATCATGCTTTCTCTCCCTAACGCGTCCAGTCAGAGGGTCATCTATTCAAAGAGCTTTCGCACAAGTGTTCTCAGTATATCCTCGGCGTAATCTAGAGAATGCGTTCTTCTGGCTCGTCGTAGGCCACAGCGATGAGCTGAACGCACGTCGGGTCAGTATGACGAGCCACAGATGGAAGCATGCACTCACGTCAAGATTCCTCGGGGGTCATGCACACAGTCGCGGGTCTCTCCGGGTGGTAGACTTGGGCTTGGGTGTAGAGATGAGTGCAAGAGAGATCCAACCTTGCCAGAAGAGGCTTGCAAGTCATCTACCACCCGTGTGAGTTCTTCGACACAAATCGCATCAAGAACATCCTTCCAGTGCACGTTGATGACCGGTGTATTGTGATCGACTGCGCTCTCCTTGCAAGATGCGTTCTTGACAACAAGGCCGATGCTGTGAGTTTCCAGCCGTCTAAGGGAGCATACAGGTCTCTTGACGCGCAGATCATGAGCCAGAGAGTCTGCTGTCATCACTGAGATCAGCCCTGGTACATCCTCGTGAGATTGACGGTCAGTAGAGAGGCTCTTCACGATCTTCTGTGGTGAGCGGTTGTACAGAAGCGAATCAAACTTGACCTCGGTGTCTTGCATAGTCGGCACGGTTCCGCCTTTCCTGGTCGAGGGTTGTGCCCTTAGGTACGCAGTCTTCGCGGCATAGAACCACTGAGCCCGTTTGCCCAGCGTCGTCGCGCACGGCGATGAAATCGAAGAAAGCTCAGTCTTTTCGACTTGTAGCCGCTCAGCGTCGGTCAAGTCGTCGTAGCCTGTGAGCCCATGAACCAGAGATAGAGCGATATCCGGCTTTGCATCGCGAGCTTTTGGTACGAGGCATATCGGGACTGCTGCAGTGAAGAGCTCAGGATCGTATACGGGTATCGTGCTCACCAGCCTGTGCCGCGCTGGAGCGCGCATGCGCTCGAACCATGATGTGAGAGGACCTAGGTCCGAGCATAGCTGGTGAGGGAGATGTCGGCATCTGAGCTGGAGCGGATGTATGCGAGATTCGTACCTTATCGACGATACTCAGACATTGGGATCGCTTTTGCGGATGCCAGCCGCGAATCATGTCGACGAGAATGGCTAGAGCGAATGCGCAGAGTTCACCCGCTGCCAATGTCCTGTCAGTGGGATTCAGTAGATGTCGCGCGTATTCACGCAGAGCCTTCGCTTCGGTTGGTCTTCCTGATGAAGGTATGGACCTATCGATGAAGCGGGCATGGATAACATTCTGTAAGAGAGATATATCCTGTTTTTGGCGCATGATCAGGTCCTGTGGGAGGAACGGGAAGGTGGAGATGGCGCGCCTCAGCGTCAAGGTCTTCCGGGATATGCATCTGTACGATAGCTGCATGAGTGCAGGACGCGGAGGACATGAGTCATGGGAGAGTGTGAGATGTCGGCAGACGGGCGATTGTAGGAAGGTGCGAGGAAGACCGCCGGTAACAACTCGCGACCGATCGTCTGCTTTTATACGTCAGTCGAACAAGGACTGGGTCCAGCTCCAGCCTTGATACGTTCCGCATCAAAGCATCATAGCAGACAGGCTGTACAGCACAAAGGTTATAGCAGAAGAACGCGCGCTCGAGGACAATATCCGACGACCTTCGCGCATCAGCCGCAGCCCGAAGATGAATGGTCTGCTGGTTCTGAGGTCCAGCGCTGGACGTTTCATCTGTCTTTTGTGTTGTCAAGGTAGCCGAGCTTATGACCAAGACTGGCTGTGTTCATATAGCACGGGTCCAGCTGCACAACCGCCAGCAGCTCGAGAACGTGGCGGTCCAACGACAACAAGCACCATGCGGGCTTCTCGGGCGCTTGAAGACAAGCACGCGCTCCCACGCGCGAGGCGCGCCACCCCTTCTTCACCTCTGACTACCATCTTCTGTCTTGTTCGTCCAGCGCAACTACGGAGGCCTCCTATACAGGCAACTGCTTCTGATTAAGACAACCCCGGTCATTCTTCTCTCGGTTATAAGGACCAGAAGAATGCCAATGCTGTGCCAACAACCGCACTCTGCGGGATGGACAACCGACGGTAGCTACGGTTCTCTACCGCTACAGCCGCCATTCTCTCCCTTCTACTGGCAAGGACAATGCCCCGGGGACGTATAAAGGCGAAGGGATGCTGCGACGATGGTGCCGCACGGAGACGTGTGCCCTCAGACACTCGGACCGACACCTTGTCTTTAAGCCGCTCAACCCGAAGGCTTTGTCCTCACGCCATCTCTGCTCCAGTATTATTCAACACGCCTATATGAACCAGAGAGGGTCCCGATGCTACGTTACCATCGAGTCATTCTACTCATCCTCTTTGGCTATCTATGGCATCAAGCACAGTGCAGTAAGCAATGTCATCATCTGGTTCTTCTCTCCTCTCAACGTCCAATACATTACAGTGAACTTCGTGCCGAAGCAAACATACCATATTTCTCGCAGAATTGCCTCCGATAACCGTTCTCGATGCGCCCCCTGTTCGTTGTGCGCCCAGGCTGCCACGGAATCAGGCGGCAAGGCGATCATGGTATCGCGTTCTGGGCTGTTCATTCAGTTCAAGCCTATGGCAGGCGCTATATACGTGAATGGCGCGACCACCGAGATGGATGCACTACTCTGTAGTCCTCAAGATATTCAACGCGATGCGGTTTTGTCCATGATTCTTCATGCTCTACCTTCACGATGCGTGCCATATGTTCCATCACGGCGGCCTGTCGCATTCTTCCCTCGTCTAGAGAGACTGCACTTGCACGGTCATCTCCCTCATGTCAGCTGCATCAACCTGCGGCAACTAATCCTCAATTTCGCCGAGTCAGACGAGCACGGGTCCTATCGGCGTTTGACGGTTGCAGAACTCATATCCTTCCTCCAACCGTTCTCTAGCACTCTCCATCAGTTATCGCTCATATGCTGTCTCGATATCTCCGAACTCCGCCGAATTTCGTTGCCGTACCGAGGAGTAATCGTCCACTTGCGTGGCCTCCAGGTCCTGCGCATAGACGGGGAACTCAGGAGGATCATCCGAACCCTTCGTGAAATATTCCGGTTTCCCATCGGTTGTCGTATCGAATAATCTTTCCATCATTGCTCCACATACATAGGACTGTAATTGTACTTCATGTATCTTACTCAGGCTGAGCTACGATTACCATCATCCTTGCTTCATACAAGGTTCTCTGGATCTAGTTTGTCTACGCCTTCATCTATTCCAGTGTCGTGGGGCTTATCGTCACATGCCGGAGAAGTGCATGTGGCGTGTGTGATTGAGCGCGCCGGGCAATTCTGGTTGCTCTCGCCTTCTACGCCAACCGTGTCGGGCTCGACAGAGACTTCGTACAAGTCGAAAACATCGTGAGCCCGGGGCCTCTCGTCAAGTTCTGCGTCATTGCTACCCTTTGCTGTATCCAAATTATCCAATGAGTGTGGCACTTCATCGTTCGTGTGCTCAGGAAGTGTAGAAACCTGTTCTGGAAGGTTGGTGAATGGACCATTGAAATACTGGTAACCCGAGTACACGGGTTCAGCAACGCTTTCTGCAGAACGATCATGCAATGACCGAGAACTCGATTGGTCAGCGTTGAGTATTGCCTCGTGAATCGATGTCCAATCCACCAGCTTCATGAGACCTCTCAGGCAATCAAGATATGTCGAGTCAAATAGTCTACTGTTGATCGGCTCCACTTGTATGCTTTCGGGATGCATCCAGTATTCGAGCCCTGCTTTGCAAATGATGTCGATAAAGTCGGCCGATGGTGGGCGTCGCTCTATAATGTTCTCGACAATACGCGAACTATCCCAATATATCGAGGAGATCCAACTAAAGAGCTCAACCGAATCCAGGGCCACAGATCTGTCTTCCTCTGAGGCTGCAACAAAATCCGCGATCAGACTTAACATTAGACATGGCCCATCGTGAGCCCAACCAGTGGGCGTAAGAATGCTTCTCCAGGAACTGCAACAGTCGCCATCGTGAAGAGGGACCCAGCAAGAATTGCCAGAAGCCCATGCGAGCAGTTTGGGGCCAGAGAACAAGTCATCGCTGTCCATAGCTTTATGACTCTGGTACTGCATGATGAGCAATAGATATCTGGGATCAAGATCCCGTCCACTGAGGGACCAGAAGTCCAGTTTTCCATCGCTGAAAACCGCATCGGGAAGCTCAGCCTGATCGAGAGCTGCAAATGGCTTTCGTGTATGCGCAATTACACAGAGTTCCGTGAAGGAGCGATGTATGATCGCCAAGCATAGGAAGGCTTGCAATCTATGAGCAGAACTCTCATGACGTCTGTGTAGTGTCGCAATGGCGAAGATGGTATCAAGATGACACGCTGCGATGTGATTTCCTACTATGAGACGGCCATCGGGTGATTGGCTTTGTTGCGAGGCCAAAAGTCTCCACGATAAAAGACCCACCAACTTGAAGATAGCTGGCTCTAACTTCAGTCGACCGTGCGTCATTTTCCATATTCGCTCTAATATACTCGTTGCCAAAGCCTCGTCAGTGCAAATACAGTCCAAGAGGCCTGATATGCTACGCGCCCGAAGTATCTCGGCCACACTGCATGCGGCCGCAATATCCGATTGTTCACCACAATCAACTATGATAGAGTGCAATGCCCTGAACAACTGTTCAGCGTTATCATCCAACATGTGGCGGCTCGTGCGGTTCCAAGCGAAGGCGAAGTGCGAAGGCGAAAGGAGAAGACCCTCACCGCTAGGAACGGTGCGTGAGATGAGGTCACGAAAAGCGCGCGTGTTGCGCGTGTTTGCGGGCGTGCCCAATTGAGATACGATACCCGACTGCACGTTCAGAGACGAGCGTGCTGTGCAATCAGACAAGGATCTGAAAGTCGTCATGAAAGGAAAGTAGAGCGCCGCAAATAGATAGGTAGCGGGGGTCCGATAAGGGCTGCTCGGATCGATGAGCGGTGAGACACTCGCTGCGAGGTACAGTAACAAGAAAGAACCGAGCACGCCGGTCGTTGTTCCGGCAACAACATCATTGATAGGAAATAAAAACACCGCGAGGCCCCCGATGAAGAGAAAGACGGCCAAGTGCACCAACACTATGATCCAATAGACAACTCTGTCCATTCCGTAGCGGTCTACGCCGAGGCGGATGTAGATGTGATTGAAAGCACGATTGCGCGTACTCTCGCCGAGAGTGCGCCGCCGATTTATATCCCGAACGTAATCGCGCGACCACTCTTGTATCAGAGTAGATAGTAGCGCGCACATTAGCGCAATAAGCAGGCTGGAGAACCATAGGACGTTCACGACAACGGCTGTAGGCGGCGCCTTGAAGGGCTCAACAACGGCAATGGCATGTGCTGCATCAATTGGAGCATGGTTCGAAGCATTCGCCGCTACGGCGAGGAGTTGGGTAAGAAGCGCCACAGTTTGGTCGCCCGAATCTGGGGATAATGATTTGTAGTTTTCTATGATGAACGCCGCTACAGTTGCGGCGAAGAGACCAGTCTAAATGACCAGGGTCAGTGAGCATCTCCATCACAGTTGAAGGGGCACGCACGAAGGTCAAGACGCTGCCCGTATTCGCTTCCCAACTTTTCGGGAGGTATTTATCCTCTTCTTCGGCATCCTTCAGGTATGTGGTCCAGAACAAATCCTGAGGAGGTGTATCCGCTGTCTTCGGTTCGTCAGACATGGCAGAAGATGAACACGGTATGCTTTGACGATCGCAAGGGTTAACGATGGTGATGGTAGAATGCAAGCCAACTCTTCCCGCGTGTTGATACCTCACTGGCGTATCCCCGCCTCTTGCGTCACCATCCACTTCATAGTTTCACCTCGGCTCGATCTCAGCGCTTCAGCCCTCCACCAGCTCGCGCACTGCACTTTCGTAGGAAAAGTTCGTATAGTGTCATACTATGCTGATATACCTTCTCCGGCAGTTTCTTCGACCGTTTTCCAATTAAGTCATGTTTGAGCCTCGGGAGGCTGATTTGTAAGTACATGGATAACACCTCCACTACAGAGCGTACGCGTAAGCGGTAGACGGGTATGATTCATTCGCGCGTCACGGACGGCGAGGGGCGCGTCAGTTGAAGTACTTAGCCCAGCCGGCTCACTCTCCTGAGTCCTTCGGATCGGAAGGAAGCGACACGTGGCCGTGCGTCATTCATTTACTCCATCCGGCGCTTTCTGCGGGCTGCTATCCCCGGGCCGCTGTATACAGCAAAGCGCGTGCCTACAGGAAGGATTTGAAGCTTGTGCGCGACAACGAGGACGTGGGCGGCGGGTGGGAGGCGAATGCATATGCGTTGACGGTAGTACGAACCAAGTGGGTAGCGCGGATCAGATGCAGAAGTGTAATTACGATCATCTCCCGGCTCAAAACGAGCTCTGTCGCCATCAGTTTCCCTTGCTTTATACTTATGCCTTGAGCTAGACAACTCAAGTACTCAAGTACTCAGTACTCATCATGCGTCATGCGTCAATCCCGGACGTGACGACGTCTCCACACCTCTCACTCTTTCGATGACAATCCCCTCCAGCGCTGGTGCGTCTACGACTGAATGACTTTCCAGGTCGCCCGAGACTGGTCGTGCGGGAGTGTTATCTCGTACACGCACACCGGAGAGTTGTACGTCGTTGGGAGAGTGCGAAGTATGGTCTTCGGTCCTGCGAGAGTGGACGGAAGAACTGGATGCGTTGTGGCAGCCGCAAGGTACCAGACGAAGCTGCAGTGACTCAGCTGCTCTCATCTGATGGTATGATTCCCAATCAACGTATCTTGCAAGCCTCTTCAAACATTCGAAGGCTTGAAGCTCGTCAAGCACGCTTATTGAATGATATGACACAACTCCTCGTGGGTGGGAAGTGTGACTACTGCCGGGCTCTAACCATTCGTCGAGTTCAACGTCTCGAAGAAGTGTAATGAACTCTGATGAAGGGGGGCCAATATCAAGGTAGTCTTCAAAAAGCGCAGAACTATCCCAGTATCTGAACAATGTCCATCCCATGAGAGTCACAACGTCACCGGCCTTGCGCTGTACGTCTGCGGGCGCTTCTATGAAGCGGGCTATCAAGCTCAATAGACCAGAAGCGGCATCGTGGGCCCATCCATCCGCAATCAATATGCTCCTCCATGACCGACAACAGTCGCCATCATGAAGGGGGACCGGATGGCAAGAGACTGTGTTGTCTTTCAGCCACGCCAAAGCCTCATAACCAAAGTCATCGATGTAATATAGAGCTCTGTCAACGTGGCTTTGCATCATGAGGAGGATAATCCGGTTATCAGAGAACTGGCCGTTAAGGTGTTCATACATCGGGACTAGAGGAGGTTCTTCGGATTCGTCGAAAGTAGATACTGCCGGTGTGACATCGTCGGTAGTCAAATCTGGGAATCGTGTACGTTTTCGTGCGGCACTGCAGAGACCAACAAGGGCCCGTCTCGCTATTGCGAGACACACGCGGGCTCGCAATCTGTCAATGGCACTGAAGCTCTTACATTCCATCACAAGAGCCAGCCCAGAGAGGATGTCGAGATAAAGCGCCTTTGTCACGGACCATTGGAAATACGTAGGCGTTGAATGATCTGCAGGGTCCGCAGCAAAGATGGACCATGAGAGAAGACCAGCGATTTTGAAGAAGTCTAGTGCGAACTCCCCGGTGCGTCTGCCCAATAAGTCGTTCGAGTAGTTCTGCATGGTGTTCATAAAGGACTCATCAGAACTGAGACAGTCAAGGGGATCAAGTACAGTGCGATGATAGTAGAGGTTAGATGTTCTGGCCCCTTTCCTTCCCGCTTGAGTCTCCATGCCATCCATGAGTGATTGTAGATCCCGAAGTAGGTCGGGAAGTTGATCTTGTAATAGATGACGACTTGCACGATCCCATGCGAACTTGAACCGTGGGCCCGAGTCCAGATAGTTCTCGTGATCGGTAACCGCACGCGATACCAGTTCGCGAAAGGCTGGGACTGGATCACTCTTGTGCGGCTTCGCAGAGTTCGGACGGAGTAACGCACAAAAACGCACAACAGCACGGCAGAGTGAGAGGAAAAGGAAGTAAATCCCAGCGAATAGGTACGTGGCAGGGGTGCGATAGGGACTGCTCCCATCAACAAGTGGCGAGATGCTGGCAGCCAAATATAACAGAAGAAAGAACCCAAGCACTGCGGTGGTCGCCGCCGCGACGACACCGTCGAAGGGGAATAAGAAAACTGCAAGACCGACCACGAACAAGAATACTGCGAGGTGCACCAAAGCTGTCACGCAGTATACAACACTGTCCATTCCATATTTATCAACACCCATGCGGATGTACATGTGATTGTAGGCACGATCACGCGCACTCTCGTCGAGTGTACGGCGACGATTGATATCCCGGACGTAATCGCGCGACCATTCCTGGATGAGCGTAGACAACAGTGCGCACACGAGTGCGATAAGCAGACTCGAGAACCACAGAACGTTCACAACAATGGCAGTGGGCCGCGCTTTGAAGGTCTCGACCGAAGCAATAGCGTGTGTGGTATCAATGGGAGTATGACTGGAAGCATTCGCAGCTACGGCGAGAAGTTGTGTGAGGAGCACCACGGTTTGGTCGCCTGAATCCGGAGATAACGATTTGTAGCTCTCTATGATGAACGCTGCTACTGTCGCAGCAAATAGACCAGTCTAATACGTCCCGTCAGTCATAGAAGGGCTTCACATGATGAGGTCTGCACGCACGAAGGTCAAGACGCTGCCCGTATTCGCTTCCCAACTTTTCGGGAGGTATTTATCTTCCTCCTCGGCATCCTTCAGATACGTAGTCCAGAATAGTGCTTGGGCAGGCATTTCCTCCGGTTTTGGTTCGTCTGCCATCGTGGATGATGAGCGGTATTAGTGCGAAAGCTATCGATGGTGATGGTAGGACGCAAGATGCACCCGCCACTCGTCTCTCATGTCATCATCGCCTGGTCCGCGGGCCTCTAGAGCGCGCTTCGCCGAGCGGCATATGTATCATCGGGGCAAATGGGTATTACTAGCACTTCTGTGAACTTGCTCCATGGGTGCCTACTTGACTCCTCCTCCGCTCGTCCCACGACCGGCAGAGCCGGCTGGCTGATCCCATCGGTTCGGAGGACTGCAGAAAGCGACCTATAGCGTGCATTGACGAGCACAGCGGATCCAAAGCTTTTCATTTCTTATTCATTCCGCCCTCATATCTTGAAAAGAACCGCAGGCGTCGTATGCAGTACTACGCATCAATCAACTTTCCCTCGCCGGCCTCAACCCTCGCATCCGGATTGTCCTCCTCCTCCTCTTCCTTCTTCTGCGCCTTCCGTCCATAGAACTCAGCGATGATCTTCGGAGAGATTCGGTTAAGCTGCTCCTTGGGGAAGATGCGCAAGAGCGACCATGCAAGATCGAGCGAGTCGAAGATCGTACGCGATTCGTATGCACCTATGCCCCCTTGTCAGCACTGGCACTCTTAACGAGTAGTAGGAGACCAGAAAGACGCACCCTGTCCCACAAAGTTCTTCTCGAACTTGTCCAAGAACTCCAACGCAAGCTTATCCTCTCCGCTCAACGCCTCCTCACCAACGACGGCCTTCATAGCCGCTGCATCACGACCGATAGCGTACTTGGCATACAACTGGTTCGACACGTCGCCGTGGTCCTTGCGCGTGAGCTTCTCGCCGATAGCGCTCTTCATCAACCGCGAGAGCGACGGCAGGACGTTGATGGGCGGGTAGATCTGCCTGTTGTGCAGCTGACGGTCGACGAAGATCTGGCCTTCGGTGATGTAGCCCGTCAAGTCGGGAATCGGGTGGGTGATATCTGTATATGAGAGGTCAGTACCTGGCTGCAACAAGACGGCAGTGTGGCGGAGGATTCGTGGGAAGTGGATTGTGTGCAAACATGGGCCGTATACGTACCGTCGTTAGGCATGGTGAGAATAGGGATCTGCGTGATCGAGCCGTTACGGCCCTCGACACGTCCGGCGCGCTCGTAGATGGTCGACAAATCCGTGTACATGTAACCGGGATAACCGCGACGACCCGGCACCTCCTCACGCGCCGCCGAAACCTGCATTCCATACATGATCAACATCACGTTCGGAACGAAGACTTATGAAGGAACGCACCTCACGCAACGCATCGGCATAACTACTCATATCCGTCAAGATAACCAACACATGCTTCTCCAACTGATACGCGTAGTACTCCGCCGTCGTCAGCGCCAACCGCGGCGTGATGATACGCTCGATAGTCGGGTCGTTGGCCAAGTTCAAGAACAGCGTGACACGGTCCAGAGAACCGTTCTCCTCAAAGTCTTGCTTGAAGAAGCGCGCGGTCTCCATGTTCACACCCATGGCAGCGAAGACGACGGAGAAGTTGTCTTCGTGGCCGTCGTGCACGTCTTTTGTGGGACGCTTGACGAGGCCGGCTTGACGCACGATTTGCGCGGCGATCTGTGGGCGCGTGTTAGACTCTGGGCGAGGCGGGACGTGAGGAGGGGACGTACTTCGTTGTGTGGGAGACCTGCGGCAGAGAAAATGGGGATTTTCTGGCCACGGGCAATCGAGTTCATGGTGTCGATAGTCGAGATACCGGTCTGGATCATCTCCTCGGGGTAGATACGTGAGTACGGATTAATCGGGCTACCTGCATTCGGTTTCAATATCACTGCAACATTTCGACGAACGCAGACTATGCCGTACCGTTGATGTCGAGATAGTCCTCGGCAAAGACTTTCGGGCCATTGTCGATCGGGTTACCCGAACCGTTGAAGATACGACCCAACATGTCCTCGGCGACAGGCAACTTCATGGACGAGCCAGTGAACTCAACGTGGGTCGCCTTGACGTCGACACCAGAGGTACCCTCAAAGACTTGGACAATCGCTTTGTTTCCTTGCACTTCAAGAACCTGGCCACCACGTTTGGTGCCGTCCGGGAGGGTGAGCTGCACGATCTCGTTGTAGGACGGGAACTGCGAAGGTGGTCAGAATCGGCGAATACCATGTTATGAGCAGATAACGTACTTTGACATTGTCAAGGACAACTAGTGGGCTGCATGAAAGGTGAGTAAAGCTAACACGCACCGGGTACTAGAGACTTTACCCGTTGATAGCAGACACAGTGCGGTAGTCTGAACGAACATCAGCTTCCATTGCAATCAACTTTACGTATATAGACCCACCCAGATGCGGCTGCACCTTGAACTCCCTCGTCACGGCGGCAGCATTGATAGCCGCGAGCTCGCGGTCGCTCATCCTGGGGTCACCACTGGCCATCGCGTCGAATGGAGGACCTGAGGTAGAGTCGCGACGGAGGACGCCATCCGCGGCGAGCACGACTGATCCGGTTCGCACGCGTCATGCACGTTGCACGCGGTCACGTTATTATTTTTCAGCCGCTTTTATCTTCTTGATCTCGAAACACCATCTGCTTTTTGTTCTATCTTGACTTACCGTGTCATCTCAAGACTGTTTACTTGAGCATCGTATCTGGAAGCCGTCCTTCTATAAGGCTTGATGTCTACTCCTGCTGGCGACGATGATGACGAGGAGAACTGGGTCGACGATGAGCCCATGGCCGGCCCTCACCCGGTCACGTCCTTCCTCACAAATCGACTTTATACTATGTTCCAAGGCGCATCAAAGAACGCCATTAAATTTGTGCCCGATCTCTTCCGCAGAGCACCGCCCTCACCGCCACCGCCTTATATGACACCACCAACGGACTCGACGCCGGTTCACACCCTTCCTGCCGAGCTTCTCGCCGATATATTCCAGCTCGGGCAGGACGCTCACGCCGAGTTGCATGAGGAGATACATGCGGACGTCGATGAGGATGACGAGGACGAGTTCATGCCTTTCGAGATCTTGGCCAGTCATGTCTGCAAGCGATGGCGCGATGTAGCCTTGGGTACACCCAGTCTGTGGGTATACGTCGACTTCGGCGAAGGACCGCCTTTCGAACGTTCCATCGCGTACCTCGAGCGCTCTCGCGAGGCTCCTCTTGAAGTCGTTATCGACTGCACCAGCGACTCTGACGATGAGTCTGACGATTCGGACGGGCCTGAGCATGAACACGAGCACGATGACGGAAATGAGACGGAGGAAGTCAGCGAGGACGAAGGCGAGGAGATCGCCGTGCTCCCCGAGCCCGAGCACGCACCTCCACCGCCGCCGAGCCCACCCGACACCATGTCATCTCTCGCTTCCCGCGGCCGCACCCACTCATCCGACGGCGGGTCCACCCACAAAGCATCCAACGACGGCAAAGTCAAACCCTCCGATCTACCCACCGTCCGCGACCTTATCCTCCCACATGCCGCTCGCTGGCGCTCATTCGACTTCCGCGCCTCGTCTTACGCAGTCGTACACGGCATCTTGCACGCTCTGGCCCCTATCGCCGAGCTTCCCACGCTCGAAGAGCTGCAGTTACACCACTACGAGGAGAACGACGAGGATGATGAGCATTTCCCTTATAAGGAAATGATTGGGCCCGTGTTGCCGTTCAATGGCAAGGCGCCGAGGATAAAGAGTGTTTCGCTCTGGGGTGTCCATCTTGACTGGGAGAACTGCTCGTTCTTGCGTTCGCCGACGCTTCAACATCTCGAGCTGGCGTACCACGCTCTGGATGTACGGCCGTCGTACGATGCATTCAAGGCGATCTTGACGGACGCACCACTCGTCGCGCTCAGCCTCTCTTCGTCCTCACCCTCCGACTCTCCAGCGAACTGGCCGACAGCCAAGATCAGCGTCAACACCCTAACGGCCCTAACCCTCGGTCAGCTCCCTCCACCGCACGTCTCAGCACTCCTCACGCGCCTCCACCTCCCCTCTCTCAAATTCCTCGCGCTCGACTTCGATCCAGACGACCACTCCGGTACACTCGAGATCCTCTCACACCCCACGCAAGGTCTCGCGCGCGGTCTCGAAACGCTCAAGCTGAACGGCATGCACGCTAGCTCAGCAGCTCGGAAGACGTTCTATGCTGCGTTAAGCGGGGTGCGGGAGTTGAGGATACAGGCTCATCATCTGCCCGAACATTTCGTTGATGCCCTTATCCCCGGTGCACTAGACGAAGGCGATTCCGACGCCGACGAGCCCGCTCCTCCTCCCGGCTCCGCAAACGGCGCCATCAAAAAACACGCCTTGACACTTCCTCTCCTCCACACCCTGATCATCATGGGCGTCGAAGGCGAAGTCATTCGCTCGCTCGTCGCCGCGCGCAGTGCGGAAGGCGCACCGCTCAAGACGTTGTTAGTTGAGCGCGGCGACGAGATTGCGCAGGAGGACGAGGAGTGGCTGAGGAAGAATGTGGAGGAGTTCGATTATTATGATGATTCTGAGGACGAGGATGATATTGAGGAGTTGGATATTGAGGATGGGATGGAGATCGATATGATGGATGAGGATGAGGAGATGGGGAGCGGGAGCGAGAGTGAGGATGAGGATGGGAGCGAGGAGGGTGGGCTTGACGGGCCGCCGATTGGTTTGGATGTTGATTGAGGTGCTTGAGGCTTGCGCGAGGAGTGTGTGTTTGGCGATCTGTGGTTTGCTTTGTTTGCTCAAGATAGAAATGAAATTTGTATGTTTTACAGTATGATAGATGTACATGACATAGCCTAGGAGCCTAGGAGCAGAGAGCGCACAAGCATAAGCGTCATCAACGCCGCAAGAGTCTCACATACGCGAGTGAAAAAAGTTAACGTTAAAGATACAAGTCCGTCATCTCTCATCAATCACCCCTCCTCAAACGCGAAGAGGGTCTACGCCCTAACGGTATCGCGATAATCGACCTTCCTGACACCAAGGACAAGCTCGGGCAGCTCTTCATCTCCGTCGTGCGTCCTCCCATCACTCGTACTGCCCGCGTTAGCCCGTCTAGCATCGGGCATAGCAACGAGCAGTGCAACCTGTACCGTCTCAGGTGTGGGCGCAGCCGGCGCTGATGATGTCGGGGATGTCATCTCCGTTTCCGCTGCATTCGTAGGATTGATGAAGCGTGATGGCAATAGGCGAGCAAGGCCCCTGGGCGGTGGGAGTGATGAAGCTGGTTGAGGAGACGTGTGTAGAGGTGTGGCAGGTGCGGGTTGGGAGGGTAGGACCGCGAGCGCCGATACGGGCTATACGTTCACATCCGTCAGTCAATATCTCACACTCCGCCTGGCAACGATGAGGGAACGTACCTGAACATCGTCCCATTTCTCATGCTCGGCCTTCCTCTCCCCACTGGGGGCATACGCATCGAACATCACTGGCCTGGGCCCAACAACGTTCGGTCGCTTCGTTCCTGCGCCTGGGAACCCGGGCGGTACGTCGCCTCCTGCCCATACGCCGGCGTAGAACGCTTCTTCGACGTGCCGACGGAAGCGACGGCGCAGGATGAAGGAGCGCAGGATGATGGCTGAGGAGACACAAAGTAGGAGTAGCAAAGTCGCAAGGAAGGTGAAGCTATATGAAGAAAAAAAGGTTATTAGAGTCAGTAATGCATAACAAGTCGTGGTAATGAACGTACAGATAGAGCGAGGAAGACGTTCCGCCGCCCCCTCCTCCGCCATTATCGCTGCCGCTTCCGTTGGAGATCAATGCGCCTCCAGCGGAGCTTGTTGTTGATGGGCTCGCGCTTGACATGGTGTGCAGTAACTTATAAGTTTGTCGTAAGCGAGAATATCACAGATTGGCCGGCAGAACTCTTTGAGTCTCAGCAAAGGCAGAGTATAAATGAAGCAATAAAGCCGCGGGAAGCTTAAGTCGTCTGAGCAGGCCTGGAGTTATAAAACTCAGTCCAGATAGACGACCGTCGTCACCGCTACGTGACAGAACGTAAAGTCAAGAGACAGCCGATAGCGTAGAGCAAGTGAAGTGCGAGGTCGACCGTCGGTGTTGCGGTTCAAGCTGAGCTGAGATGTGCGCAGCTGTCAAGTGAGCGTGAGGGGCGTTCGGCTCCCGGAGGCCGACCCATCCGAGCGCCCGGCACGTCAGAGCGCTTGACCACGAACCGCCACCAAGTGACCAACTCACTCAGCTGGGCGCTCAATGCGTAGCGTGAACCTTGCAATTATCCTCATACGGCTTTTCCATGCAACCTCATGTGCTTGAACTCTGCACAGCTTTTGGATGCCAGAGCACGCACCATCCAGACATTCCTCGACAGAGGCTCTGTGCGTGAAGTGCTGACGAACGCTCGACACCTGATCATGATAATGGCGCTATACACCGCTCTGACGCCCCTCACGATCCTGAAATAAACTGAATGCATACGCGGATCACTTTGTCGGTGGGTGACCAAGGATGAGCACGAGCCCGATGATGCACGGGGCGTACTGCGCGACCCCTTCATAGCGCCTGTACTAGGCCTCTTGACAGGGCGTTCGGGCTTCTCTTCGCTTGTTGCCAACTCGGCTGAGTGTAACTATGATCGTAAGATATGAGCGCGTGGGCGCTCGGTCCAGCTTATATGGGCGGCAAGGATCGTGCAAGCGCCCTCATGATGTCGAGCTAGCTGACTTTAGCAAACGTCCCGTGCAATCCAAAACCTTCAACGGTCGCCTTGTGTGAGTCGACATAGTTCGCTCAAGGTTGCTTGTAGACTGACCCGTATCACGTTGCAGGATCCAAAGGCCTTGCAAGTCATGCTCAGAGCGGCCGTCTACAGTTGTGAGATATGAGCTGGATAGCGCCGCATTGCTGTGAAAGCTCACCTTTCTCTGGGCGATAGTGGCGTGTATGGATCTACGGGAGTACTAGCGCTCCATGCAGTCTTCTCTACTTGGGTGAGTCCCGGCCACGCCAACAATGGGCAGCTCGAGAGCGCTTCCCTCATCGCACCTTCGTCGCTCCCTCAAATACTTCCCGCATGCGCACACTTAGATGCTGCAACGCATGCGTAACCGCCTGCTCACCGGCAATTTGCGATTGCTATGCTTGAAAACAGGGTTACGAAAGGACAAGGAGTCGTCGCCGAGTACCAAGGAAGATAGAGCAGAGCGAACCGATAGGTAAAGGGAGGATATGACGTGAAAGCTGAAGGAAAACGCCGTCAAATCGACGCTCAAACATGGGACGATGCCGGAAGTGTCCAGACTCCAAGTTCGTTTGGTGCGTCGACCTTTGAGCAGTGGTTGACTATCGATGCTTATCTGCCTGAATGCGCAGATGCCCAGGACGCATTGAAGGGCTTGCAGTCCGGCCGACCGACGTTCTGAGATCACCGGCCGCATTCTCCACCGTTCATAACGCGGACGTCGTGCGGCTGCTCTCGTTTATCTTCGTATCAGTCCGGCACAGACGACGCTCGATTCCGGAATTGTGGGACGATTCTCAATAGCTTCTTTGTGTCCGACCTCTCGGGACCTGTGGGACGTATGAGGGTAGTAGCTTTCTAAATGCTCAGATGAGCCTTGCTGCTCGAAATCTGACTACACCCTTCTGATCGCTCAAACGAGGTACTTCTCGTTCATCGTCAAGTGCCATGGTATATTAACAGTACCATAAGGTTCAGATCATCAGCAAGGTCTCGCCCTCGAATACGTCGGTCCACGGACGTACAAAGCCTCGCAACAAACATGCGTGTTACTTGGAGGACAACGTGCCGGGGACTCGCCATCGTGAACGGCCGACATGGACCCGACGGTCTCGACCCATCTCCCATCGACTATCACCGGCGATTGTTCAGCCGTATGTGGATTTCTGCGTTCACCTCGGGCATGTCGTTCTGTAGGGTTCACTGCGCATAGGGCACGCTGGAGGGCTTGGGGCGCGAGATGAATGGATACACGTCTACACTCACGTTTGTACCCTTGAACGCCCGCCAGAACTTTTGGAAGACCGAGCCGGACTTGTATCACTTTCCAAATTCCATGAATGCAATTCCTCCAAGTACCTTCTAGCCGACCACGCCGTGCCAGCCGAAGCCCACTCCGACGAGCGCGGTTCGTGAGGCTTCCGCGAGGAGTGTCAATCCACGCCTGTCATGCGCCAGACATGGGGTAGATGGCCAATGATGAGAAGTTGAGATCCTGGCAGCATAAAGTTTGCTGCAGCGTCGACGACCAGATCCTCGGGTACGCATACCGTGCTCATACGAGACCTACGACGATCATATGGTTCGAACTGTAACGCAGGATCACGCAATGCTCGGCGATCTGGGAGGGCGTCTAGGCCACACACCTATTCGAGTCGAGGATGATCACCGGCCTGTTAGTATCGTCTTTCTATAGGCCGTGCGCTGATGCGGCGGCAACACAGAGGCGAAGAGAGCGGGATTCGCACTCATGTTCGCCGTGGTACGGCTGGTGCCGCACAAGCATCGTCATCTCAGTACTCTCAAAAGCGATGTGAGCGAGTACGGTCCTGTGAGCTGTATGCAATTGCGGGGTGCATATACCTCAGGGTCTCCGAAATCCTGTGCTTCACGTGCACGTCTAGCGGAAGCAGATAGTGAACAATGCCCTAGAAATCTGAGACAGGGTCATGTATATCATTGGTACGCCGCTGCATCCCAACCTCCTCTTATCAGTCTTCGCCGCTCACCACGATGAGCCCCACAGCCAAGCAACACAATGCCGGCACAGGGCGCGCAAAGAAGAAAGCTGCGGCCAAACAAGCTCGCAAGGAGAAGCGCGAAGCGGCCAAGCGCGCGAAATGGAATGAAGAGCGCAAGGAGCAGCGCCGTAGGCGCCGTCGCAGAGAAAGGCTGGGCGTCGTCCCCGTGAACAGCTCGTACATCACTATGCCCTCAGGCCCAGCGCCGCCACCCTTGCCCACTGCTTCTACGTCCGCCGCATCGCACGTCCCACACCCGCTTCCCTCACGTCCGCACCTCGCACATCCGCTTCGCTTGCCGGCTTCTACCTCTGTGCCGCTTCCAAGCTTCGAGCGCCCTTTACAAGCACAGTACCCAGGTGGGCTTAGTATAAGGGAATGGGTCGATCCCGCGGGGATGTTCGTGAGGAGAAAGGTTACGGCAGAGGGTGTCGTGTTGGTGCAGAGGGAGGGTAGGGTTCCCGCGGACTCCCTTTTGGCGGCGGCGATGTTCAGGGGAGAGTATGGCGGGGTGCCTGAATCGGCAAGGTCGCTACAGAGGGGGTTGGCTTCTGGGATACCGTATCAGGTTGATGCGCCGCAAGTACTGTTGGGAGGACTTCCCATGTCAACTATAGGTCACGATGCCGGGATCGACCATGGTCTTCCATACCCTGCCAACTCTGTTTACCCCGTGTCTTCGCAGGTAGACGTTTCCGCAGGTACATACACCAGACCGTGGAACGACTATCCGGTTGGAAGGGGCAATGACGGGTACGATGATCAAGACGAGTACGAGAGCGGTTGGGACCAAGATGAAGAGGATGACGGGTATCAGGGCCCGTACGACGAGCAGTTCTACGAGGACATGGAACGCAACCTGACATTCGCAGAATGGCAGTACGGGCCATATTGGGATTCTGATTGACCGAGTCTTACCCCTACCGGTAGTACTGTTGTTGTCGTGAGGTATATGCATGTTACATGGGACCATCGTGTTATGAACCTTTTTCCTTTCCTGTGATTGCCGTGCACGGTGATTCGCAAACCCTTTGTCCGCGCGCGCGTCATCCGCCACCGCGAGTCTGCCACGGTACTATAAGCCTGAGATACACGCGCAGGCTGATTCATCCGGCGTACACGAGAGACCATATGGGCTTTCGAAACTCCTTCTAGCCAGAGCCCCACTAAAAGTCCAGGCTCAACGTGGAGAACACGCACCCAACCAAGGTCGATTTTCCCTTCATAAAGGCCGATTTTCTCGTATACACCAGTGGATGCCTTGAGATCGTGAGAGTCGTGGCTTGTAATCTAATCGGTGTGGAGTGAGACGTGCGTATAATGGCCCTTGACGGGCCACTATGTGCATCGAGAGGCCGAGGCCGATCGATTTTCAAACGTGTTCATGTGCAGGTATGAGTCGTAGAGAGAGTCGGTTATCTGACAGTGCCGTTTCATTCAGACGCGCATCTGTAGCGATTACGCATGTAACGAAGGTTATATCCGGTGATGGGCGGAATGCTAGCGGAAAGACAGGGCCATGGGAGTCTGTGGCAGCCGGGCTTGAAAGCAACGCGGCGCGCACGCGGTCTTCGGAGAAACGCGTGACGTCACGCGTATGGTGACCGACGTCGCGGCGTCCGATGTCGGTTCTGGCCCGGCGACGCGACTTGTCCTCGACCACGACCGTGGCATTTTTTAACCTTGGCACCTATTAATCGAATAGCTCTTTCTTATGGTAACACAAGAGAGATGCTGAAGCATAGCTGCGCTGTATGCTTCATCACGGCGATATCGAACTTTTCTATACTCCCGTCTCGGGCTCACCAACACTGCCTTTCCCCACTTCGATGTCTGCTTCGCACAACTGAGAGGACTCGTATATTTTGTATCATGCACTCCTATTTACCTTTAACTGAAATTCTCTGCTTTATCTGTTACAGCATCGCATGGGCAGCAGGGAATACTCGTGCACGACCAAGTTCCGTTCCCTACATGATCGCGCCAAGCCATCATTGCGATGGTTGCGCCAGGCTGTCTTTCCGTTACTCTTTAACAATACGGCTGTGCTGCAATGCCTCCCGTGTGTAAGTACTGCATACCTCGCATGTTCTTTGACGCGCTCAAGCACTGACTTCGGCTCCGTGCCTCGTGCTACCATTCCACGGTCGTTTGATGCTGCGCTCGCTACAAGTCTAGCGCGTCAATTTGGATCCGTCTACATTCCATACTTTTCCGAGTCTTCTTCTTCCTCTGCCGAAGTGCTGCGAACAGAATCATTTTCGAGATGATGCTCGGTACTCCAAGTGGCGGTCCGTCTCCCGTCATGTCAAGCTCGTGCGCGTGCGCGCTGTTGCAGCTCAGTACGTACACATTCGTTGGTGTTGTCAGATCGTCACCGTCGATGATGGGATATGTACTTATGGCATCGGTAGAGTTTCGGGTACCTCGTCGGTACAGAAGACTGGGGGACCATTAGCGGAATTCGGACTAGCGGCAAGTATGGCTCGCCCTTTACGCTCATCTACCGTACTCACGCGTCGTGTAGGGTTGACATTCCGAAGGATGATAACACACGCGGCCGTGGCGTTTCTCACCAGTCACAAGACATGTCCTTTACTTCATTGAATACAAAGGTAAGATGTATTTAAACTTCGGATGACCCTCGTTGTTTCGGTGTGGCGTGCGGCATCAGACCAAATCATCAGCGACGGTGATAGTCGGATAATTGACAAAGCAGGGTGTGCTTAGCGCCCCGACTCGAATATAGCATGTATGGCCAGAGCAACGGCGACGTCGATGCGCGCTACCGTGCCGACGACGCGGGCCACATCGTGACCTGCGCATACCGTTCCGCCCGGCGCCGCCTCCGCTTGTGCCTCCGTTGTGGCCCGTGCCTTGCTCACCCTAACGACTCAGGCTAACAGAGGCTAACAGCACTGCGCTCGGGGTCGGTAACTCATCTTCCCGCGTCCGCGGACCTGAGCGGAGGTCGCCCGCGGAGGCTTCTGATATAGCATGTGCCTCCATGTGCAAACGTCTCAGAGCACTATCATCCGTCGCGCGAGAAGGCGCACAAAGGAGGGATAGCCTACGCCACCTTATATAATTCTGGCCCAGCGCCCGGAGGTCCTCTGTTTCCGCGTAGGAAAAAGGGGAGCCGCAGGTTATACAGCATATGCGGGCGCATGTTCGTGAGCTTGTATGTGGGTCGTGGCCGACTCACGGCCCGCTGTAGAGCTGCGTTTGGAAGGTGCGCCCGACGGGCGCCGGCGGGCGGCGCTGGGCGTTCCGGTCTCGGGCTGGATACTTACATAGATCTGCGCCGGTGTCGAAAACAATGAAAAGGAGAGCGCGGGGCACGATGTAGATCCTCGCAGCCGAGACTCGGAGGACGGCCCGTGGCGTCGGTAGGCGTTAGGCGTGACGTGTGGCATCCGGGTCGGTGTCACAGTGAAACGGAACCGCTGTCGGTAGCGCGTAGGCTCAGCCTGGCAAATCGCGGTAATGCGGCGTACAGAAAGGGTCGCAACGGCGAAGCGTACGGGCGCCGCGGGTAGCGATCCGTGAAACGACGCCAGATAGGCTGCTGCCGGTGCGTTGTCTCGGGGTCAAGCTACGGAAGCAACCCGGTGCGCTAACGGCCTGACAGAATGAGTGGGTGCGAAATGGATGGAGCTGTGGCGCACGGCAGGACAGGGCAAGGAGACCTCAAAGTAGGTAGGAATGTATGTCCAGGTTGCGGGGGTGGGCATCGTTACGGCGTGAAGGAGGGTAGGAGGGTGGCAGGTGAGCACGCACTTTCGTTAGCACAGAGGCGAAATGACGATGGTGCGCGTAACGGCGTGGTCGTGGTGCCACTAGTCGCTGTGTCGTGTACCTTAGACTCATACTCAATTCAGACTCCAAAGTTCATGTGCGCGTGCGTGGCGGGCCGGGAAGAGCAGGCACGGGAACGAGATGTGGCACGACGAGCGCTTGAAGAAGCACTGGACTGTTGACGGGCGTGGGTCCCACAAAGGAACATGGAGGAGGTCGAGGCATCAAATAGGCCCGTGGCACGGTGTGGTACAAGCGTTGCGGACGTCACAAACTTGACGACAAGCGACGCCCGACTCCAACTGCTTGACGAAGAGGGTGCACGCCGACGAATAGGTAAATGAGCCAACCGCCGAAGGCTCGGAAACATCGCGCGGAAGCATAGCGTGTGCAATCCGGAGCCGATGTACATACACTGTTATACGGCGTGGGTCTTGCCGTAGAAGAAGCAGAGGTATACCGTTAGGGCGAAGACCAGCTGGACGCGAGCGCCTGCAGCCCGAACACACCGATGGAATGCGGAGGGCGATCAGAACGATGCGTGTGAGAGGGTCTTGCGCCCGCTGCCCGCCGAGTTTCGTCGCGCATCCTGGCATCGCGCGCAGGCCATCATGTCGTTTGAGATCTATAACAAAAACAATTCATTATCTCGAAGCGATTGGCACGCGTTTGAGCCGAGGCAGGTAGCGAGTCAGCCGGGGCGGCAAGCATGAAGGAATAGCGACGATCAGCAGAATGTGTATGCGGCGTGGCTCGAGAGTACGCGCGGGACGGCAGGAGGCTAACCTGCTCGGCGTGTGCGCGGAGCGACTTTTTGAGGGATGCTTGAGGTTAGTGCTCTGCCTCGTGTGGCTGATAACCAGGGCATCGCATATGGGTGAAGCGCTCAGAAATTCTATGTTCTGCTATAGACGGACATAAGGTGTATATATAAGGCTTGTCAACAGTGGTGAAGCGAGGAAGGAGGTAAAAAGAGTTGGGATGGGAACAAAGAGGCAGCGGTGGAAGAATGAATAGGGCAACCGGAACGGGTTTGAGATTGAACGGAGGTTTTGAAGAGATCGGCTGAGACTGTGACGAGGGGCCGGCGGCCTCGTGTTGGAAATGCTGCGAGGGATATATATCCCGGCTACTACGCATCAACACCGCTAAGACTAGCATGGACGCCGTCCCCCGCCTGAACTGCAAGCGCAAGCAGCAAGCCGACGACGACGAGCCCGGCGACAAGCCCCGTCTGCAGCTTCAGACGCAGTGGCTCGACCGCCCCGGTCCGTTGCAGTCGCCACCCCTCGACGGCGCCGCCACTCCCCCATATGAGCCCACCCATGACGCCGAAATTCAGCACTCTCGCGCCAAGCGCCCTAGGATAGAGCAGCTGCCACAACAACCTCCCCAGCAGTCGGCATCCCCCGCTTCATCTCCGGTACTTGCCCCTCTCAGGCGCACCTCCTCCCCCAGGACCGCGCGCCGGGCCGACCAGCTCCTGTCTGACCTCCAGACGCACGGCCGGCGCTGGGACTGGATGACCGTCGAAAACGGCCAAACTCGTCTCGTCGCTTCGTTCCGGCCCACCGAAAAGCGTGGTAGAGCCTCGGATAACATCCTTCTCTCCCAGGTCTGTGTTGTTTGTCGTCTGCGAGCGCGTTCTGTATCTCATATACATCTCAGTCGGCGCCGACATCACCAGTGAATGGCTTCAGTGGCCAGGCCCCCGCTATCCCGCCCAGACAGAGCGTGATCATCCCAATCGACCCCAGCTCGAGCCATATACCATCCAGAGCGCCTCCGATCAACGCCACTACCCTCCGTGAGCTCGAAATGAGCTCGATTATGCACAATCCCCAGCTGCGCCATGACTTCCTCTTCGATGCTGGTCTCCAGTTCCGCGCTTCGTCTTCACGACGGAAACGCGATCAAGCTGAAAGCTACTGGCGCGCCGTCGACACCGAGCTCAACTCCGGCTGTACATGTGTAACGTTCGACGTTGACGGCAGGCCACAAGCCGTCTGCTGTGTCTGCAAGCGCATCTCTACTCCCCCGGCAGAGCCCGTAATCGCATGTCTACCTCAGAAAAGGCGACTCACGCTCCGTATGCCTAGTCGCATCCGTCCCTTACTTCAGGAGTTGCTCGCCGTCCTGCTGTCGATCATCAAGCCACCTCCTCAACAATCCGCTTCTGCGACACCTCCCGCAGTCACCCGAACGCCTCAAAGCCCGCGTCAGAACGAGGCGCACATCCGTACGTTATACGAGATCCTCGACGCCGACCTCATCCTGCAGGAGGTTGCACACGACGCGTTCGACCCAGCTCCGACTTTCGCGGCTCTCGCGGAGATATTGAAGGCTCACTGCGCGCCAATGCGTGATGCCGCTATTGACGAGATGGTCGCTCGGGTTTCGGGGCCAAACCGTACGCGGTCGGACGCTGTTCGTGCTCTGCGCGCGTCGTTTGAGATCCTCGAGCTCATGAAACTCGTACGTACGATCTTGACAACAAATGCAGATGCGGATGGTTGACGTCGCTTACTGCATAGGACATCGCGAACCATCAGATGCAGACGCTGCGGCCGCATATTATTTCCAACGCGCCCAAGTTCGAGCTCTCCGTGTTTCGTGAACGGCATCGCGCATCCGTCGATCCATTCGCTCGGACACAAGCGTGGCTCTCGGCCTCGCATGCTCGCTTAGTAGCATCGGGTTATTCCCCGCCTTACCCTGTACGCGCTGTGCCCTTCCCCCAGCTTGCATCGCGCACGCGTGTAGTTGTAGCCGCGCTTGCAGGGCTCGTCGACCTCATCTTCGACCCGCCGGCATCCGGCGCCACGCCAGAAACGCTCTACCTCGACAACTCGCGCCTGCAGCAACTTACCAAAGATGCTGCCGACCTCGCCGCGTTGCACACGCTGCTTCTGCTCTTCCGACAACTGATGCACTCGGGCGCATCACGTCGCGACACTGCTTACGACGATGCGCATCTCGCTCGTGCGAAAGCCGAAGCGCGCGAGCTGTGGCCGCACAACCTTGGGCGCAGCTTTGTGCCCATGCCGGATTGCGAGCCTCCTCGTGCTCAGGCGGCGGCGCACCCGCAAGGTCTTCGCGCGCTCGTTCTGCAGGTCGCCGCTCGCGCAGTAGAGGCTCGCGCCGGACGCCCTCCCGTACCCGGTCCTGCGACAGCCCCGCCTTCCCAACTCATTGCGCTGGCAGACAGCTGGGCAGAGACTCACCTGTCCCTGACAAGCCCTCTCGGCGCCATGCTTCGCGCTCGTCTGCGTGGGGCTGTTCTGGACTTGCTCGTCCACACCGTGGTTGTTCGCGGTGCAGATGCACCAGCCGAGGCCGCGCCGGGCCTTGTCGAGAGCGGGCTGGCGCCGCTTGCAGGCGAGGTGCGTGCACTCGTCGAGCGATTGGCGCGCTTCGCTGTGTTGCACCTCAACGTGTACCAGACGGTGTACGAGGAGGACGGATTCGTCAAGGAGTAAGTAACGCCCTGAAATGAAACACATAGAAACTTCACTGTAGCATCACCATCGGCATACCCCACATATCTAACCACCTCACTATTTGCTCCTTTCTTACGTCGTACGTACACATACACTCGCGTAGTGACAGGCGTTTTACCCATTAATACTCGCGCCTCGCTATCCACTCGCTACTCTTCAGCACCTCGGTGACCGTCCAGTACCGACATTTGACTCTCATCAGCCCTCATCTTATCACGCTGTCTGTTCCTGTTTATCATCATCCCTGGGATCTCGTCCGTGTCCATTGTGTCCAATCATATAATTCAACATCCCTGCACTGTGTGAACAGCCCGAACCCGGCTACACATACGGGGACCTAGCCTGCGATCCTTTCATCGCCGACACTGAAAGATGCCCACGCCAATCAGTATTCCAGCACCCACCCACAAACACCATGATAGGTTCGGAGATTGACGGAAGTGCGTATCGTCCGTGAACACTACACTTGTATCCCGCCGTGCGACGATATTGCCGGAGCGAATGGTGATGCGCGAGAAACACGGGTCGAGCGCTGCTGCACGGACGGACGAGCGCCGAGGAAGCAGAACTAAATCTGCGGCGTCGCCTTCGCGAACAAGCAGGTCGTCTTCCCCGCCGGCATGCGGCAGAAGCCCTTGATGCGGTGGCTGCGAGAAGGCAATTGCGCCGCGCGCGGCCGTCGACACGCATCTCTGGAGGCGCGCATCGTGAGCGCTTAGTCCATCAGCTTCGCCAGAGGTAACTGCATATACTCACCAGGAGTCTGCGAAGGGCCGGTGATGTCGCATCCTGATACAGGGCCACGCCAAGAGGCACAAGTCCCAGTGGGTCAGCGCTGCCCTGTGGCGTGAAAGCGTTTCCTACGTTGTTTACGGCGAGCGCGACATCTACTCCCGCACCCGCCGCAACGTGCGCATCTACAGTCCCACGCCGACGCTCAGACGTGCGCATCATGTACACATCGCTCTGTGGGAGAGCGACGAGCGAGATTGGTAGTTCACCGATTGCTGCCTTCAGGCGCGCCCATTCGTCAGGAGAGAAGAGCGACCATCGCGTGCAGTGGCCGAGTGTTACGCGAGGGCTTTCTGTGGTCCACTGCACGGCTCTCATAGCAGCGATGACGTCGTAAACCATCGGGGCAGTCTCCTCTGAGAGGTTGTAATCGAGATGGAAGTCGACGAGTAGCTTCTTCTCCGCGTTGCCTTGGCGCGCGAGATCTAGGATAAAGTCGATATTCGCGAGTGATCCTCGGCGCGTGGGCTCGACGTAGGGCGCTGAGCCTATCACGGATACTGAGCTTCGACGTGCTGCCTCTTCCAGTAACTTTGCGTTGTCGCTCAGTTCCTCGACGTTTCCGTCGGCTGAAAAAAGAGGGTCTTGCGCAAAGGCTATAACAATTCACTATGGGCGGCGCGCGCAAGAAGTACATGCCAAAGCGCTCACCACAGATTTGGATGTCGCAAAGCCGAGCAAACTCTGTCTTAAGCCGGGTCGCGGCATCGAGGCAGGCGAAGCGTACGGTAGTGTCGACTTCAACGTGCGCACGGATGGTGGTAACACCTGCAGCGAGGCTATCCCCTATAAGACGCTTTCCACGGTCGTACAGGTCTTGTGAGTTGACGGCAAAGCTGGCCTTCGCCTCGGAGGTAACTCTCATAGCTTCATTGAAAGTTCTGATTTGAACCTCAGCAATAATGGTCCTGCTACATGAAATAAGCTTGGACGTACCCCGTCTCGAGTGAGCCGCATTGATCCAGCAGAAAGCATTTATCAAGATGTATATGTGCGTGACACAGACTATCCCACTGGTCATCGATAGTCAATGCAGTATGGCCGCAGCGCGTACGATGGCAGAAGCAAGCCCTCCCCGTTCGCGTCGATAACGAACTGGCTCGGGGGCGAGCGAGAAATCCAACTCAGAAGTGAAGGTCTTCTAGTGAAATGTGGCGCCGCTGGCTGGACGCTCTGAATGAAACCTTTCTCTATGACCACATCCCATAGCTTCTTCTCTTCTTCCGGGTCGGAGTGTGCGAGGTGGACGTTGGCTATCACGAGTCTGGTTTGCGAGCGAGAAGGGTCGAGGTTCGGATCGCTGAAGCGCACGAAGGAGTTTTTGTCTGCATAGGTATCGCCATTCGGACTCATTTCATATAAGAGTATACGCTAGAATCCTGATTCGGAAACGCCGTTTCTTTTCGGTCGCGTGAAGACAGTACCAGAGGCAAGGCTCGCGAGTTGGGCGATAGATTATCAACGATCGACAGGAGTTCAAACGTGCTTTTGACCCTGTATGAAGGCGTAAGAGACTATGAATGAGCTAAAGTGCTGCGCGGTGTTGTACTGGATGAATCAAGCCGTACGCCAGATGAAAGCAAGAGATAAGTTCGCGCCGGGCGTGTGTGGCCGGGCGCATGCAGAGTTCACGCGAGATGAACGTGGCAGGTGAAATGAATTTAGCCATGTTGGGCGGGCCGACTCGCCGGTCTCTTCTTACCACCATCTTCTTTGAGTAGGCAGCAATACAATCGCGGCGCGCCCAGCGCTGAGCGCACTCTCTTGCCACTTAGCTCAGACGAAATGCCGATGCGTCTCCCTAAACTGCGGAAGCCTCAAAGCCTTGCCGTGGCAATCTTTTCATATCCACAATAGACTCGTGCGAGTCTCTGCTGTTATTCTCCTCCCGGCCGATGACTCCCTCCGCTAGCGAACAACTTCTTGAGCGGTATGTCACTTTCACATCTCTCGCGAACGTCTGTGCCGCCTGTATAAGCCTTTCTCTCTAAGTCCGCTTATCGCAGTCGACCCAGTTTGAATCGCCGGTTGACACAGTGTTGTTTAGGCCTTAGGACCTGTCGGTATCCTGGGTACACCTACCCCTAGTATAGACAGGCAGGCGAAGGATCACTGTCTCCCTCTCCGTCACCTTTGCGATGCCTGCCAGTTCCCCTCAAGCTCCTTCCTGGCCTGGCGCTATGCATAAGCCAGTTCCTGACTTCGCTCGCAAGCAGCCTTGTCGCACCCGAAAGTCGCTTCCGCACTGACTTCAGAGCTCATTAGAGTATTCCAGCGCGCTGCTTCGCGATCTTCGCCTCCTCACTTGATGCGCGTCGCTGCACAGGCCGTCTGAGCTGGGCAATTGTGAGTGCGCATGGGCGCCCGGAGCTTCGGGGCGGAAGAACTTCGTGGCACCGGGAGAGCATGTTCTCGATGATTAATTTACTTTGTGAGCGCTCGATGGGTGCGCGCGCGACTGGCGGCGCAGCGGGCAACTGTCCTGCCTTCTTGTCGGGCACTCCGTTCTCACGGGCGACGTGTTCTCGAACCATGCCTATGCTTCTATGCTCGCCGCAGCGCCTCCCTTCGCAAGCCCTTCGAACTTCTCCAACACCTTGTTCTCCGAGCCTATATGCCCCTGAAGCATTGCCGAGATGCTGCTGCACGCTAGCAATCATCGTTGGTGCTTTAGCATATAGCTGCCGGGCGGATAAGGTGATCCATTGATCTTCGGACTTCAATACGTCCTTATTTGACAGGACGGGAGGCATGCTCGAACCCGGACTGCATGCGATCTTCCAATCGGTCTCGGCGTAACCGCTTTCGTCAAGGTTTTCAACGGAAAGCGAGCCCCATGTCATTCGACGACGTCGCGTGGGCGGCGTATATAGTCGGCGCCGCGCATTTTGGGCGCCTTTCCCTTGCTCGCGCTCCCCTCCACATTCGTCAACAATGGCGAGCACGAACCGCCGCCTGTCCATCCCTGCGGTTGCGGCAGACAAGCAGCCTAAGACGATCAAGCTCACCGTCATGGCGCTCCTGTCACTTCCCGTACGTACTTCCGTTTCATATCTGCCCGTTAAACGCGATCACCTGATTATCTCCTCCTTCCGGTAGTGGCGTCTTTGCAACCCGCCACCCGCAGTAGGCAAAGTCCGGTCATGCCAGGGTATGCATGCTCCTTTGAGCCTACGCCCAATGCGCTGAACGAACGCAACTCCAGTGACGCCCGTCTTCAAGGTCACTCTCGACGACGTCCTGGATCGCAAACACCTGCCTCCACTGGGTTAGTGTGCGATTGTGACGCGGAGAACTTCATATTGACACGGCTTCCTCAGGCCTCAAAGATTTTGAAGAATGGCTTCTCTTCGTTGAGGGAAACGCAGAGAACTTGTACTAGTGTTTCATGTTCTCCATTCGACACATTCGCTGACCCGTGACAACGTGATCAGGTACTTCATGTTATGGTTCAAGGAGTACTCGGCACAGTATTCGCGCTGGTACTCACAGGCGAAACCTCCGAAGCCATCGGAGAGTTACCAGTCGGATGATCACTACCGCTTCTCGACGCAAGCTGCTCCCAGCGCTCCTCTGGCGCACTTCTATAACCGTTGTAAACAGACCTTCTTTACCCCGGGCGCCGAGTTTGAACTCGACATCCCCTCGGACATCCTTTCCCCATTCCATACCGGGCATTTCGTCTCTCCGCATCCTGATCCTATAGTCTTCAATGACGTGGTGCGAGAGACTCGCCGGATGCTGAAGGACTCGCTTGATCGTTTCGTGCTGGCTTCGTATACCAACGTCGGCTCTCAGCGCGCCCTGTGTGGTACGGTTGGTGGCACTGTCTTTGCCATCGCGGGTTTCGTGGCACCCATGGTCATGAACTTCATGCATCATCGCTCTCGCTGGCTTCGTCTACTCGCTCTTCCTGGTCTTTGGATTGGCCTTACTATCATTCTCGCGAGTCTCCACGGGGTGAGTGTTTGTTCTCATTGGAGTGCACGCCCTGTCTCATAGGATTCGCAGGTTTGCATGATGGTTTATATCTTCGGCGATCTCCGCCAGCTGCGCAAGTTCGAACTCGAACGTCCCGCGATCTCTGCACCTAGACCTTTGGGCTTCCACGAGTCCAGCGTGGAGAACCCCGCAGGCCCTGCGACGTACAAGCCTGCAACTCTGTCTTCACAGTCAATGCTTCCTGCGGAAGCGTTTGTACGGCCTCGCGCCGCACCCACGCCACCGCCGCTCACAGCTCTCACCATCCCGCCCCTCGCGATGGTACACGAAGAGCGCTCGCCTTCTGCTGCCTCGGATGCGACACCCTACGAGCGCAACTCATATGGATCAGCGTCACAGCGTTCATCATGCAGTTCAGTCTCTTCGCTGGCTACCGACGACGCCGATGACCAAATCCTCGGTATATCCGGGCCCTACTACGACGTTGTACCGGCGCCTGAGGGACCGGCTACGCGCGTCGGTCCATGGACTGAACCGGCGGAATCACCGTATCATGCAGATCACACGCCGGAGTGCGTCTTGGCGCGGACGCACGGTGTTGCCACGGCCGGCTTTATTCGCGCCTTCGAGCCCGAGAGGGACGCTGAAGCCGGCATCATGTCTACCAGCGCGTTCGACTTCGACGCGCTACCCGTACGCGAGTGTGTCAAGCAATGCATCTGCGGCGCTGATGCCGAGAATGCCGGTCCTGCGGTCGCGTCGTCCATCGCACTTCCCCTCGAGAAGGAGAAGACGCTTGTCCGTCAGATCTCCGGCATCGTCTCCGCCCCGCTCGCCGCCATGACACCGAAGTACCGCGCAAAGCAAGCTTCGCTACCACCTGCACCGACTGAACGCTCTCGACCTTACTGCCAACATGGCAAGCCAGACGTTATCTACGTTGGGCGGGAGGCACGGTGCGGGAAGGCGGATTGCCATCCAGTGGAGAAGAAACCAAAGTCGGGCATGCGCGCTCGCACGGCGCTTGCCATTCAGCGCGCCGTACCCGCGTTCGGTCCCCTCACACGCGTGCTGAATCCGGTCATCTCTAGAGCCCAGTGGGAGATCGTTGTGCGGAGCGCCATCATAGCTGCCATCATCAGCTTCTCCGTTGTCTTCGGCCTCGTCGCTGTACCAGTCATGCCTCCGCACTGACCTTGATGTTGCGCTTCCTGCTCCGTTTGCATTGTTCTTCGCATTAGTATGATCCTGACATGCCCCGCTCGCGTCTCGTCGCCCATGTTTTGCCATTGCACGCTGTGTTTCCTCGCCATACCCGCTCCGCTCGTCCTCCCTTTGCCAACGCCAATTGCCTGACCCTCACCCCTCGTACGCGCTTTCTGTACAGTAACACCTCCATCCTCGTCATACCCGCTGTACAACTTTTCAGCCGTGTATCCACCCCTTACCTACATCGCGCCTTCTACGCGTCCCTTTTGTACCTGTTCTCTCAGGTGCTACGCTATGCACGATTGATACTTACTTGATGTTGCCCGCCTTCAGCGGCCGGACAATTATATAGTTCTTTTGGAGCGCATGCTCTGTCATACAATACATCTTGGTTATAGTAAGATCTGGACGCCATGAGACGGATACAAGGTAACTGTATGCATACACTGCACTTTGGTGCACCCCCTAACCTTTGATGCACGAGAAGCTCAGTGTGCTTCGAGACCGTAAGCCTCGTCTTCAGAGTCAGATTCGGGGAAATCTCCGTCGTCCATGGCAGCCGCCATGAACGAGCCAGCAGGTATCTTGTCGCAAGCGATGAACAAGAGTGGGGGTTCATCGTTGCGCCAGTCCTCGTCGACCCAATGCTCTGAGCGCACCCACAGGCCATGATCGCCGATGTGCTCCTCAGCATAGAACTCGCGCTGCACTTCGGACTCGGGATCCCACAATTCGCCACGACCAGCTAGTTTATCCATCGTGAAGTTCTTATCTGGTAGTATCTCCCGTGTCCTGTACGGGATTGGGCGCGCAGTTGGTGATGGGGGCCTGTACGTCGGCACCGGCTCGTCGAGCTCGTACTCCTGGCGACTATCTTCCAAATACTTCTGCCAGTTCCTCGAGGCGCTGCGTGGTGGCGGGAATGGGTATGTCCTTCCCTCGTGGTCGAGGTATGCGCCCCTGAAATCATTGAGGTGCAATTCACCTCGCTGCAGGGCCGCGGCGATGAAGGAGTCTTCCGGCGCGTCCCCTATGTCGTACTCGTACTTGTGTGTGCCGTCCGTATCGGTGATGCAACGGTTGAATCCCCCACCTTCCTCCCAATACTCCTGCCCGTATCGTCCGATGTAAGGTCCTGCAGCGTATGTCCCGCACATCGTGGTCCAGCGACTCGGCATAGGTTTGCGCTTCCTTTCGCTGCCGATCTGAGGCTCGTAGGTGCAGATGCCAGGCGGAGGGAAGGGACTCGGCGGTTCGACGTATGGGGACCATGGACGTCTAGCGAGACGCTCTTTCTCTTCTCTGCGGCGGATCTCTGCGGCGGTCGGTGGCGGTGGAGGCTTCCCCTCTCTGGCTTTCGCCCTCTCGGCCTTTTCGGCTGCCCAGCGCGCTTTGTCGAGTTTCTTTTGCTGGTTCTTGCTCAGTGGCTTCTGCTTCTTCTTACGCTTGCGCTTCTGCTTGGTGGTCGCTGCGGGTTGAGTGCCCTCGATAGGAGGTGCTTGTTGAACGGCTGGGACAGACGGAGCGACGCTTGGTGGAAGGGGTAGAACAGCGCCAGGTCGCTCGTGCTGGGTTGCTGGACGCACGGGCGGTGCGCAAGCGATGGGGGTGAGAAGCGGCGCCGGTCGTACTCCAAAGATGGTGGCTGAAGTAGCAGGAGTGGATATGCGAGCTGGGGCGAGCCAATGCACTTGAGGAAGCCCAAGAGCCCTGCGCCGTTCGATCTCATCACATTCAGCCATCGTCGGAGCGCGCGCCATAGGCATGGAGTATGACATATGAGAAGGAGCCGGGAGAGGAGGAGCCTGCATGTATGCTCGTTCGAGCCCCTCGTGATGCGCGTAGGTCGGCGCTCGCGCTACAGGGGTTGAGTACTGAAGCGGGGCAGGGGCGGTCGCGTAGACAGATGGAGCAGGAGTATAGGTTGGCTGTTCTTGACGACCGGTTGTAGCCATTCCGGCCGTAGTAGGCGGCCTATACCACGGATTCGGGGGCGGTTGATGGACCATGGTGGCAGAAGAAGAAAAGTTTGGCCGCTCGCGAGGCTACAAGAGTCACTTCAGTTTTGGTTCCGTAGGCTACGAACTCATGATCACGGTGAGACAGTACACAAGGACCACGCTACGGTGAAGCGTCACTGCAGCATGAAATGTGAAATAGAAGGCGATCGATGTATGACAGGCTTTTGACGTTCAGGATAAGTACATTTGGGTACAGACAGGTGGAGAACTAGAGACGGTGTCAGCCGGTACTTGGACAGCAGTGAAGAGGATCGCACTCTTTCGAATACTGGGTTAACTCGCGAGACAGCTTTCAGTAGTCATCATAGCCGTCATCGTCTTCGTAGCCATCATAATCGTCCTCAACACCATCGTCGTAGTCATCGTAGTCGGCGTAGTCATCGACATCCCCTCCGTCCGATGCATAATCCGCGCCATCAGACACTACCTCGTCCTCATTGACATCGACCTCGGCATCGTCGACAATATCAGCAGCATCTTCTTCGCCCGGCACATCGTCGTAGTAGGCAGCATCGTCCTGATCGTCCTGATCGCCCGCGTCCTCTTCTACCTGCGGATCCTGTTCGTCCTCCGACGCATATTCGGGAACATCAGACGCCACATCTTCCTCCTCGGAAACATCGGCAGCTGGCTCGGCGTGGTCCTCCTCGTAGTACGCATGACACTCCTCATCGCCATCCTCTTGGGGAGACGTGTACCCCGTATCCGACGCGTACTCGGGTACGTCCGATACAGCATCGTCGTCGGCAACTTCGGCAGCGTTTGAGACTAGGTCCTCCTGCTCTTCCTCGCCTTCCTCAAAGTATGCAGGGCCCTCCTGGTCAGTCGCCTCGTCATCGTAGTAGGGCGAGTCGTAGGGAACTTCATCATCGTCATCGTAGACGGGATCGCCCGTTGTGGCATCGTATTCCTCCTCCTCCTCTGAGTCATAAGCAGCGGCTCGGGAGTACGTTTCGTCTTCATCGTCGGAGCCCGATGCGTGCACACCAGCGTTCTCTTCCTCCCAACGCTCGCGGTCCATAGCGCGGTATTCGTCGGCGATGCGGTGACCTTCTTCAACATCATCGAGATCCCAGGGCTTGAGACCGTGGCTGGCCATGTAGTTCGGCCATCCTCCGTATTCCTTGTGAATAGCGTAGTTCGTGGGTGGCGTGTATTGCGTCACGGAGCCACCGTCGCGGGACGAGGTTGAACTCGGGGAGCGAGACTAGAATGGTATCAACGCCTGTTTCTGAACTGCAGAACAAATAATGCTTGCCATGGATCTGCTATGGTTCGCTGCGCGGATGTCTGCTCAAGATAGCGAGAAGATGGATGCAGTGGTTCAAGTTTAGTGGCGGGGCGGAGTCAACTGGCAGTCAGCGCCTGGCCCGGATGACGGAGCCCTGTACCCTTCGCGGCCACATGTCGCTTCTTGAAGCAACCTTAGCGACTTGAGGGTATTTGCCACTTAACGTCATTCCAGATGCATGCGCTCAAGGCCGTTTCATACAAATACGCGCTCGTCGAGGAGCGGAGACAACTTGCTCAAGCTTGCTCATCACGCAGCGTCTCAACGCGGTCACGCGGGGATCGCGCTGTCCATCATCTCACTATCTGATGTATCTTGTAGAAGGAGAAGCATCTCAATCGATCGAAGGCTGCTGTTAACCGAAAGCTTGCAGTATCACTGTACTAGTATTCATACGGCTATTCTCCATTCAGCATGTTCATCTCGGAAGAAACGGTCACCATTTCGCGGAGGCATTGTCACCGGCCCCTTAGACATGTACCTCCAAGAGGTACCACACAATTGAGGTTAAGCTTAGTCGCTATAGTAGTCGTAGTCATCGTCATCGTAGTCTCCGCCGTCACTGTGGTCGTCGTAGTCGCTGTAGCCGCCGTGATCGCCATCATCGTCCCTAT